TATTTATTTATTTATTTATTTATTTATTTATTTATTTATTTATTTATTTATATGTAAGTAAACTGTAGCTCTCTTCAGACACCCCACAAGAGGGCATCAGATCTCATTACAGATGGTTGTGAGCCACCATGTGGTTGCTGGGATTTGAACTCATGACCTCTGGAAGAGCAGTCAGTGCTCTTAACCACTGAGCCATCTCACCAGCCCTTGTTTTTGTTTTTTAGAGACAGGATTTCTCTGGGTAGCCCTAGCTAAACTGAACCAGGCTAGCCTTGAACTGGCCAGAGATCTGCCCGCCTTTGCTTCCCACATGCTGAGACTAAAGTCCTACGCATTGTGCCCCCACCACCCTCTCCATTTTGACTCAAACCACCATGTTATCATAAAAACTTAATGGAACTGTTAATATGTATAAACATGGTATTTGGGGCAACTTTAATCCATATATGAGCCTGGAGCAGGCTCGCTCATATTTTGGTTCCAGAATAAACTATCTCTTATTCCCCTTGAACTATATTTTACATTAACAAATCGGGTTTTCACATGTCTATACTTGAGATGACCTACAGCTGTTAAAAATATGTGAATGTATGTACAGTACAGGAATACATAAAGATATATGATATGTGTTGGCATATGAAAGAAACACATTATATACCGGGAGCCAAACCCAGGAAATTATCTGCTGTTCTGGAAAGCCTAGTCGGTACAAGGTTAAGAAAGAATGTTCTCGGATCTCAGGTCCCAGGAACTTAAAGACTGTCTGGTATTTCCTGGGAGCCCATTATGACAGTGGGATGGTCTTGGGCAATGAGGATATGACAGTGGAATGGTCTTATTCAATAGTGGGGTAGCCCTAAGCAATGACCCTTGCCTAAACTTCCCTGTTTTGCTGTGTCTTTATAATCTGCCCCTGAAATTAAAGTTGCAGAGCTTGATCAGAACTCCAGACTTGCTCTCCGTTCTTGTGTCTCTTGTCCCTTCATTCTTTCGCCCTCTTCCCTAGGGTCTCTTCAAATCTTTGCGGGCCAGGACAATTATACAAAAGTATTATAATATGATCTAACTATTCTAAGAAAGCAGGTATATTTGCATAGCTGGAGTATTCACCAATAAGCAAATATAAAATTTAGCATATAAGCTAATTTTAAAAATCAGTCTGGAGCTACTTAGATGGCTCAGCTGTTAAGAGCACTGGCTGCTCTTCCAGAGGACCAGGATTCAATTCCCAGTACCCATATAGCAGCTCACAATTGTCAGTTCCAAGTGATTTGATTCCACAGACAAACAGACATGCAGACAAGATATTAATCCACATAAACTAAAAACAAACCGTTTTTCAGAAATCAGGCTGCAGAGATGACTCAGCAGTCAGTAGCATTTGCTAATCTTGCAGAGGTTCTAGGTTCAGTTCACAACTCCCAGGTGCTATCTCATAACCATCTGCAACTCCACTTCCAGGAAATCCAGCATCCTCATATGAACCTGGTATGAACGTGGTACAGATGTGTATTCAGGCAAAATGCCTATACACATAAAATAAAATCTTTAAAAAAACAAATGAATTAAAAAATCACAACAAAGAATATGTCTTTTAAACATCAGAACCAGGAAGAATTTGTTGCAGACTAAGAAGACACAAAATAGACAAACCTTGGTGAGACAAAGGATAAAAGGAAGGAGGGACAGTTGTGAAGTAGAAGATTGCAACAAAATTAAGGCCAGCCTGTGCTACAATAGCAAGTTCCATATCAGTTTGAGCTACGTAGTAAGACCATGCACATAGTAAGTATGTGTGTGTGTGTGTATGCAATGAAACACAAATAAGAATTCAGAATTTAGCCGGGCAGTGGTGGCGCACGCCTTTAATCCCAGCACTTGGGAGGCAGAGACAGGCGGATGTCTGAGTTCGAGGCCAGCCTGGTCTACAGAGTGAGTTCCAGGACAGCCAGGGCTATACAGAGAAACCCTGTCTCAGAAAACAAAAAAACAAAAAAAAAAAAAGAATTCAGAATTTAACAAAGAAATTAACACACATTAATAAAGACATAAAATATCACTGAAAAGAAGGCAACAACCTTAATGTTCATTGACACATTATACACAATACAGACTGCTTCTCCTGCCCCAATTTAGAAAAATAGTGACCTTGGTCCTTGCTAATTACATTTTTTTCCAGTTGTAAAAATCCAGAAACTAACCAGGTGGTGGTATCAGATGACTGGGGAAGCAGAGACAGGTGTATCTCTGAGTTTGAGGCCAGCTTGATCTACACAGTGAGTTCCAGGACATCCAGGGCTACACAGAGAAACCCTGTCATGAAAAGCAAAACAAAAATCCAGGAACCTGGGGCTAGAGTGATTGCCCAGAACCCATGTGGCAGCTCACAAGTGTCTATAACTACAGAATCAGGGCATCTGATGCCTTCTTCTGCCCTACATGGGCACCAGGCACAGACATAAATGTAGCCAAAACATTCATACTCATGAAATACAACTTAATAATTCTTTTTAAAATCTGGGAACTTACAAGGAAGTCCAGTAAATGTGAACCTGACTTGACTGTTTGATGGTGATCTTGAAAATCACAAGCCTTGGCGTAGAATGTGGAGACCCGACCCACAGTTTAGAATTCCTTTACTCAATTTTTTTTTTTCAAGACTATCTGTTACATACAGTCTTTGGCATCACCATGCTTTGGAAGCTCAGTTAATTCGACCTGCTCATTACCACCATATATATATATTTTTAAAAGAGTCTAGATGGTTTAAGTAGGGAAGAGACATACCAGAAGGTCATTGGTTTAGGAATACAATGGAACAGGCATTGGGAAATTAGAATCAGAAAAGTGGGAGGATCCAAGGGAAGCCGAACAAAGAACAAAGGGCCTAGCCGCAGCATCCAGCCAGCAGCTGACATCCATGATGCTGGAGACTCTGTGGTCAATGCTGCTGAGCTGAGTAACTGATAAACTGTCTCTCCCTTTTGTGTCTTTCTAAGGAACTGGACCCTTTCCTGGGATCATAGACCTTTTTGGAATTGAAGGTGGACTTCTGGAATATCGGGCTAGTCTGCTGGCTGGGAAGGGCTTTGCTGTCATGGCTCTGGCTTATTTTAAGTATGACGACCTCCCTAAGGTTGTAGACATCCTTCATCTGGAGTACTTTGAAGAGGCTGTGACCTTCCTGCTCAGTAACCCTCAGGTTGGCTGTTATTTCAGTCTTTTGGTTTAAAGACATCCATCCACCAAGGCAGGACTTTCAACCTAGTTTCTGAGACACAGTCAAATATTTAGATTTTTAAAAGTTTTTATGTATATGAATATTTTTCCTGCATGCATGTTTGTGTACCATGTATGTGCCAGGTGCCTGTAAATGGCAGAAGAAAGGTTTGTATCCCCTGGACCTGGAGTTACAGAAAGTTATGACTACCAAATGGGCACTAAGCACTGAGCCACTTCTCCAGTTCCAAACATTTGTTCTTTTCCAAAGTCAAAAAGAAAAATGTTTTTGAACCAGATAACCTCCTGAAGTATAGAGTTGGTTGACAGTCTGATCATAGAAACACATGGACAAATAGCAGATATTGTGTTTGGTCCAGAAAGGGGCTATCTGGGATTTGGGCACAGTGACTGCTAAGATCAGGATAGGCTGAGGTAAACTACAGGGGGGCTGTGTCCCACAGCAGCATCATTGCTTTCTGTGAGTGTGTCCCCAGTCTACGGGTTTGTTCTGAGCACTAAATGACAAAATGACTCATGTGAAGTCCCTGTGGTAGGACCCACCATTAACTGATTAACAACATTCATTTGGCAAACAATAGAGGGGTTAATCATGGCTGGAAACAAAGTTAGGTCTACATGAGTTTAGTGTAGCGCAGGGCAAGGCGGGGATGGCTGTGGACAAAAGAGAATCTCATTCAGTGTGACAAGGAAGCTAAGAGGCCACTGATGAAGACTAGCAGAAGTGAGGGCTGATGGGAAGGGCCTCATGTTGCAAGGGTTGCACCCCTTAGAAGAGGTAGAGCCGTTTCTGGGAGCTTGTGGTTTTGTAAATCCTTCAGTGACTGCCACCACTTACATATTAGAAAAAACTGACACAGAAGGAAATGACCAATGGGTCAGATCTACTTGATTCCTATATACCTCTCTATGACACACACACACACACACACACACACATATATATATATATATATATAATAAGTAATGGGTATATATAATATATAGGGTATATATATATATTGGAAATATATATATTGGGTATATATATAGTAAGTAATATATATATATATAAAACCTTTAAATAGATAGCTTCTTAATGACCTCAAATAACTCTTTGATAAAGTAACTACTAATTTCAATTTTTGAGCTGTTTGTTTGTTTGTTTCAAGTATTTCTATGCCGGATAGTTTTCATGTCAACTTGACACAAAACTAAAGTCACTGGAGAGGACGGGACCATAATATTTCCATAAGATTGGTTTGTAGATAAGCCTGTGGGGCAGTTTCTTAATTAATGAATGATGTAAGAGGGCCAACCCGTGGTGGGTGGTGTCATCCTGGGCTGGTGGTCCTGGGTTCTATAAGAAAGCAGGCTGAGCAAATCATGAGGGGCAAGCCAGCAAGCAGCAACCCTCATTGACCTGCACAGTGGCCTGGAAGCTCCTGTTTCTAGGTTCCTGAAATGTTTGAGTTCCTGTCCTGACCTCCTTCAACAATGGACAATGATGTGGAAGTGTCTGATACACCCTTTCCTCACCGAGTTGCTTTTGGTGGTGGTGTTTCATCACAGCAGTGGCAACCTAAGGCAATCTCTTTCTCATCTTCCATGCTTGCACATGGGTCTCAGAGCTTTAGCCAGAACAGAATGGCACCTGGGTTCACATTAATAACATCAACTTGTATGAATGCAGTGTCCCCCAAAAGTATAAAAGCACCACAGAAAAACAGCTAAGCTTCTGTTGACTTGTCCACATGCTTTCTTTGACGCAGGCATGCTTAGGCATTTACCTGTCATTGCTTCTCTGAGCTTCATGGAGACTGTGGGACTTGTTGAGCCCCATCTTACCACTAGCGACATTGATTTGAAGAGACCTAATCACCTTGAAAGCCAGGATGGTAGAGTGAGATTCAGGCTCAGGGCCACCTTGCATCCATGGATTGGCATCACTAACTGTCCCACCCTCTAGGTGTGCTTAATCTCTTTCCTTTCTCCGTCTCTTTCTTAGGTCAAGGGTCCAGGAATCGGCCTGCTGGGGATTTCCAAAGGGGCTGAGCTCTGCCTCTCCATGGCCTCTTTCCTGAAAGGCATCACGGCCGCTGTCATCATCAATGGTTCCATGGTTAATGTTGCCACAACCTTAAAATACAAAGATGAGAGTCTGCCCCCTGTGAGCACTGACAGAAATCGAATCAAAGTAACCAAAGATGGGTTTAAAGATATTATTGATACCCTGAATGTCCCTCTAGAAGGTCCAGACCAGAAGAGCATCATCCCTGTGGAAAGGTCTAACACGACCTTCCTGTTCCTTGTTGGTCTGGACGACCATAACTGGAAGAGCGAGTACTATGCCAGAGAGGCCTCCAAACGTCTGCAGGCCCATGGGAAGGAGAAGCCCCAGATCATCTGCTACCCAGAGACAGGCCACTATATCGAGCCCCCTTACTTCCCCTTGTGTAAGGCTTCCCTGCACAACCTGGTGGGTGGTCCTGTCATCTGGGGAGGGGAGTCCAGGGCTCACGCCATGGCCCAGGTGGATGCTTGGCAGCAAATCCAGACTTTTTTCCATAAACATTTGAGTGGGGACAAGAGGACAATCCCAGCAAAGCTGTGATTTTCTTTGAGTAGTGACATTTCTGGTGCTGATCCCTCCTGAGAATAGCTGGTCCTGTTAGGTTGTTGTCGAGAACAGGGACTCTTATCTGTCACAAGCAGGCTATTGATTAGGGTTTAGAATCCCCGAGGGGAGAGGAGCCACAGGTCCTGCTCCACTCAGGGATCATATGCTGGATTTGACTGTGAGATTATCAGCTCCATGAGAGAGGAGAGAGTATGCCTGAGAGACAGAGGATTTGACATTCAATTTCTCTTTTAATGATGGATAGCAGATAATATATTATTACCAATGCTAAAGCTACTGTCACAATGAGATATTGTCACATTTCCTATACACTGCCTCTATCAATATCGCCACAGTAAACACAATAAGTTACTAATTACCAAAGAAATATGCATAGCAATAAGTACATCAGTCCTGAGTACATCAGACCTGAGTCCTTTTGCTGGTTTCCTGTTACAGGTCCAGAGTCTTTGAAGGCTGGGTCAGGCTGCGGCTTCCAGCTAATTGAATTGCTAATTTGACCTCATAGGGTGCTTGAAGTCTGGGCTTGGCCAGGAAGTTGGAGGCGTAGGTCTCTCAGTGCTGAGGAGGCTTTGTTCGGAGTATCTAGGTAATCATTGTTACCAGTGTGATAATGTGCTCCTGGTCGGGCTCCTCTTTTATGCTTGATTTGGTGTTGCTGCTGACTTGCACGGCTGATAACCACTTGTGTCTGGTTATCATAGCACAACTTCACTTCCAGACTTGTCTCTACAAGTTTCCTATTACAAAATGGAGTTGGTCCTGTTAAGGACCTGCTCCTTACAGTTGTATATGTATTTTTTCTCCTTTTAATAAAGTCTTGAAGTTTCCCCCACACACACAAAGTTTTTATGGACTGTGTTCGAGGAAGGATTGGGTCTTACTTTCTTATGATGCCAAGGACTGAGCCCAGGGCTTGTGCATAGTAGGCTAGCTCTCTGCTGCTGAGATATCCTACTGTACCTTAGGGGGCAGCAATATATTTATTTATTGCTCAGTTTTTTTCATGTACTATATTTTGATCATGTTTTCTCCTCCTGCAACTTCTCTCAGAATCTCTCCACCCAACTCTGTTCTCTCAAAACAAAACAAAAACATAAAAGCAAAAATCAAAACAAGAAACAAATAAGACAAAACATGCCAAAAGTAAACAGAAATACACCATACACCACACAACCATGGGGTTCATTGTGGGCCAAATTCTGGGAATGGTACCTGACCTGGAGTGCCATTGATATACCCAGTGGCATACTGTTATAGAAAACTGACTTTCCATTTGTCAGTGAGTATCAATTCTAAATAATTTTTTGGTTAGGAGGGTCCCTGTGTCCACTTCCCTGTCTCAGTGTCAGAATCCCATGTGGCCTGCACCTGTGTGGGGTCTTATGTATGCTGCCTCAGTCTCTGTGAGTCCATATGTATAACAGTCTTGTCATATCTGGAAAACAGTTTCCTTGGAGTGATCCAAAACCTCTGGCTCTTAAGATTTTTCTTTCTCTCTTCTTTCTCTCTCCCTCCCTCCCTCCCTCCCTCCCCCCCTCCCTTTCTCTCTCCCTCTTTCTCTTTCCCTCCCTCCTCCTCTCTCCCCCCCCTCCCTCCTCCCTTCCTTTCTTCTTTCCTTTCTTTCTTCCTTCTTTCCTTTTAACCTTTTTTAAGATATGGTTTCTCTGAAAAGCCCTGACTGCCCTGGAACTGCTCTATAGTTGAACTCAGCGATCCACCTACCCCTGCCTTTGGAGTTCTGGGATTAAAGGAATTTTCCACTACCCACTATATGGCTCTTTCAGCCACCTCTTCTGCAAAGACCCCTGAGCCCTGAGGGGAGCTGAGGGGAGGGTTAGGTGCTCCTCCTGAGTGTCCCTCTGCACAGTGTCTAGCTGTGGGTTGCTGTGTTAATTCCCATTTACTGAGGAAGGCTGGGTGAGGCCCTGATCGCTGCTGTATGTCAGTAGGAACCTTTAATTGCTGTATTCCTTTAGCAGACTGATGGTATTAGGTTTTCTCCCAGGGAGGGCAGTGACTTTAAAGAAGTTTAAGAGGCTGAAGTCCATTTACCATTCTAAAGGAGGTGGGGAAACTGGAGCCTGAAAATGAGGCGGGTTAAAACCTCATAAATAACCAGAGCTATTTATTCAGAGCATCAGACAATTTATACTCTGAGGGTTAAGAAGAGTCACATGAATAAAGAGTACAATCACCAGGGCAAGCTGCGCATGGCAGGCAAGCCACACATGTGGCAAAAGTATATTTTTCCATAGAGACATATAAACAAATAACAATAGCTAGTTATAATGAATAATCTGAAGTAAACTCATTCCTATCTGCTATACCTGGGAGGGACATGAAACACGTTTCGAGAACGACTTAATGATTTTAGTTTGTAAGCCATGAGGAAGGTTCTCCAATCTTGAATGTGTCCTGTCTGCTAACTTGCCCAAGATGGATGACTTCCCAGTGCAGTTGGGCTATATTCTTCAAAACTGCTGATTGTGGGGCTGCAGAGATGGTTCCTCAGTTGAGAGCACTGGCTATTCTTCCACAGGACCCAGGTTCAGTTGACAGTGCCCACATGGTAGCTCATAACTGTAACTCTTGTTCCAGGGGATCTGATACTCTCATACAGGCCTGAATGCAGGCAAAACACCAATGCACATAAAAATAAGAATAAATTAATTTAAAAACACAAAACCCTGCTGATTGCTGGAAAGGATTTCACTGCTTCAGTACTTCTTACAGATTCATGGGTTACAAGATTAAACACGCTAACTGCTAAGTTCCCCCATTGTATCAAATGCTTTCTTTTCTTTTGTTTTGTTTTTGAGACAGGGTTTCTCTGTGTAGCCCTGGCTGTCCTGGAACTCACTCTGTAGACCAGGCTGGCCTCGAACTCAGAAATCCGCCTGTCTCTGCCTCCCAAGTGCTGGGATTAAAGGCATGCGCCACCACCGCCCAGCTCAAATGCTTTCTTGGTTGGATAACTGAGGTAATTGCTGGACATTTGTTACAAAATCAAGCTTTGCATGTGCCCAGGGAAGATATGAGTTAATTTTATAGAGTAAAAAGCCCAAAGTCAGGACTTGAAATCCCACCAATCCCTACCCTAGAAAAATCTATTCCCAAAAAATCTCTAGATAAACCCCACCCCCCACTAAGTTCTTTGCTGCTTCTTACCCAAGCAGAGGCAGCCACCCTCCTGTGTCTTTCCCAGTAAATCTCCTGTGAGAAGTTTGTTGTGCTGTGTGACTTTGTGGTGTTCCTTGGCTCCTGACTTCCAGCATATCTTTCCCCTCAGAGCTGTTATACTTAGAAATTTGTTTCCCCAGAATTATAATTTTGTGATTTTGATGCCCTTATAATCCTTGGACTAACAATAGCTGAGGTCTTACCTAGAGAACTCTCTCTGCTTCCATCTAGCCAGTTTTTAATAAAACATTTCTATTTTACTAAAATCAAAACTCAAGTCAGACTGGTGAATCTCTGAACAACCCTAGACCCACAACAGTGTCTTTGTGTCTTTCTTTCCTTCATTCCCTTGCAGCCCTTGACATGGTTCCCAGACCCAAGCCTTGCGGAATGCAACAAGAGGCACCTGGGAAAGGGACCTAGAAATAGCTGTGGGGACATGACAGCCAGTAGCCCTAATCTAATGGCACTGTTACTATCCCAGTCACTTAATGACACTTCTCCCAGAGTGCTCTGACCTGTGTAATAATTTACACATAACTCCTCTGTGATGGCTAAAGAAACTTAATATGGGAACAGGCATCCCTTAAGGGCTGTTGACATTTACCCTGGAATGCCTATGAGATACTAGTGGCCTACAGATGAGATAAGAATAGAATAACCTGGCCAGGCAGTGGTGGTGCAGACCTTTAGTCCCAGCACTTGGGAGACAGAGGCAGGTGGATTTCTGAGTTCAAAGCCAGCCTGGTCTACAGAGTGAGTTCCAGGACAGCCAGGGCTACACAGAGAAACCCTGTCTCAAAAAAAAAAAAAAAAAAAGAGAATAGAATAATCCAGTTCCTGTTTGGAGGTATTTTAACCACTTGCTTTCTGCTTTTGTTAGCTCTCTTATAGTTCTTTTTATTAATATACAATGAGAAAGAGAAACAACTCAAGGGAGTCCAATAATTTTCTTGCCCATAAAAAAGCTGTGGATTCCATACCTGTAATATCCACCTCTATAAACCCTTCCTTTAGCCCCCCCTTCTGCGTGGCATGTTGTCTGGTTCTATAGTGGCTGTCCTTCTGCCAATAGTAAGAATTAATTCATTTAATCTAAAATTGAATTGAGTCTAAGTCTTTGGCTTTTCCTAATGGAAAAGACACCTAAGCCGTGGGATCTCAATTGAAGCTTGCATTTAGTCAAAAAGGGAAAGCTATCAAGAGAAGCAGGAATACATAAAGACACAGAAGGGGGTCTGGAGAGATGGCTCAGTGGTTAAGAGCACTGACTGCTCTTTCAGGAGATCCTGAGTTCAATTCCCAGCACCCACATGGTGGCTCACAACCATCTATAATGGGATCAGATGCTATCTTCTGGTGTGTCTAAAGACAGCTACAGAACTCATTCATATACATAAAATAAATAAATCTTTAAAAAAAAAGATGCAGAAAGGGAGTGAGATTCTCTTTTGTCAGGTAAAACTTGAGACAAGTGTAAGAAAAAAATTTTAATTGGCCAGTATCTCAGAATAACACGGGACGGTGAATTCGTGAACTCCCGGGGAAGGGCCCCAGGGCAGGAACATACAAAATATTTCTAAAAACAGCAGCTGTGTGTGTGCCGATGAGAGAGAGAGAGCACTCCTGTCTGGAACGTCCTGACTCCTCAGCTTCCCAGCTGTGTGCTGATAAGAACCAGCCTGTGGCTTTTGTCTTTATAAACTTGTGTATTTTGATGTTGGGGGTCACTCTCCTTCCCTCTTGTGGGAAGTGCGGGAGGAGCCCCAGCGCGCTGGTTCCCAAGTAAA